GAGTAAAATATTTTTATAACATATTATTTGTGACTAAAATAAATAAATGAATTTAAAATAAAAAAGTTATCAAATTCAAAACATAAAAAACTTGAAAAATTTATCATTATTAAAACCGTTTAAGAATTGGAAAAATTGGAAAAAGAATAAATAAATAAAAAGTTGATTCAAACATTATTTTTTCTTAGTTTCTTTAATTTCGGATCGGATATCCGATAACATAGTAAAACGGATATGAATTTAATAATCACATATTCGTTCCATTTATACCCCTAAATTGCACAGTTATCACTTGTCACAACTAAACATATCCAATTACCATGTCCTTCAAACACTTTCACGTTCCATTAATAGACAGTAACCCAATTTATACAAAAATACAAGTTGTAAAAACATAACAGACATTCAAATTATAAAAGCTCCGAACTTAAAGTTTTCCTTCCCAAATCATAATTTCATTTCTAAATAACTGGAAAATCCAAAACAAAGTGATCAAATGTGCTTGGGATTTGACAGAATTTTTAATCTTTTGAAGTTCTTTAGATTTCATGTGCAAAATTCCCGAATCATTAGTTTCTGTTTCTGAAGGTGCAATTCAAATCTAGCCATAACTAATGCCTAGAAGAATATTCAAGATGTTCACATATTGCAAGGATTCGGATTTCGGAGACAGGCTGAAATACAAAAATGGGTATTTCAAACACTTTTCCAATCCATTATTCAAACAATCATAGTAAATCCAACAAAAAAAATGTAGCATTGGGTTGGAAGGCAAAAACTTTTACGGGGGCTGCCATGGAACTTTAACCAAACCCAAACCAATAGACAATTTGTGGTTGAAAATATAAAAATACTTACAATTAACAATAGTTGAGATTTTGGTTGACGATTGGCGGTACAGAGTCGATGGCTTTGGTGGGTCGTTGAAAAGATTTACGGGTTAAAGAATTTGAGAACTATTTCAATTTGGTTTTCAGAAGTTTCAAATGACGCCTGCGGTTGAACTTTGAAGATAGAAGAGGAGAAAGGAAGTATGGATTAAAAGAAGTTAAGTTTTAAAAGTTGGGCCAAAAATAAATAAAAAAGGGGCAACATACAAAAATATCTTTAAAATTATGGATCTTTTGAAAAAGAACTTTGCTACACAAACAAGGGAATTTGACAAAATTTAAAAAACAGATACATGCGTCCAACACAGGTTGGACAGTTTGAAAAAAAAAAAAACGCCCAATCCATTTCTACCAACTCAAGGTGCCAGCGACACCCTGTTTATATTCCTTGTTTGAGCAGAATTATTCTTTGAAAAATCGTATGAAAAATTTTTTAGAAGTAAAAAATACTGTGTAAAATTACGGGCACTTTTTTATATTAAAAGTGACACAATATAACTTTTAAAATTTTAGTCACTTTTTAATTAAAAAATGACATACAATGTCACTTTTATTATAAAGTGATGTTTTTCACAAAAAAAAAATATAATAATAATAATAATAATAATAGAAATTTCAAGACGACCAAAAAAATTCAAAAAACATGACACAAATTAAAAAAAAAAAAAAATTTACACAAATTTTAAAAAAAAAAGTGACAGATTTCAAAGTGGTTACATCAAACATTCTCCATAAATTTTTCTCAATGAATTTAGGGACGGCGTATTATGGTTGGAAACCATGGTTTTCAATCACCTAGTTCTCTATTTGGCAGACAACCACTGCTCCATCAAATTGTTCGCCCTTAATGATCAATCCAGGAGCATAATAGACTCCAAGAGAGCAAGAAAACAAGATGGAGAAGTGGATATGGACTAAGAATCGGACCATATATTGGTAATACATGAGGCTAAGCACTGGAATACTGTGATATTGCAATCGCAATAAACTCTCATGTGTCAAACAATTAGAATAAGCACCACAAAGGTTGATTTCACAAATATTGATAGAGCAATCTATATTGTAAAATAATGAACAAACTAATCATCAAGATCCAAGGACTAAAAGAGAGGGATGCAGACAGGGTTGGAAAAGAAAATCAATGCAATTCGTAATATAATGATGCATAAGTTCACTAAATTATAATTATGTCGTCGTGAGTATTCCATAGGCATTGGCAAACAAAAACTCACTAAATTATCTGTGCAATAGTTCCACATAGAAAAGTAGTGTCAATAGTAAGAGATTTATATAAAGAAGTGCTATCAGTAATAACACAAGTATGACAAAAATGAAAACAGAACAATAATTGACAAAAGCAATAAAATTGTGCACCTGCTGAAGCTTCTTTTCCGCTTCACTAAAAATTAAGAGCTAATAAATTTTAGAAACAGTAGAGATTTTAGATACGCATTAGGTAATATTGCATCCCTATAAGATGAACTACTAGAAGGACAAGGGCTGTATTTATGAATGCATATTGAAAAATTCTATTCATCCAACGTTTTACGAAAGCAAGAAAAGGCAAGTCCTTATAGAGCAAGCAGTCAAAACAAAGGATAATTTTCACACCTTCTTATAAACTATTAAGCTCATGGAACTGGAGTAGCCTTTTCCAACTTTTGCACATATACAAATTGACCAAGTTTTAGCCCTTATTTGGTTCGGATTAAACTCTGATTTTAATTTAAATCAAAATCAAACAATCAATATTAACCACATCTTTCATGAGTTCCACAATTTTTCAACCATACATTTCAAAAACTTCTATCACAATCTACTAAAAATTTAATTTTAATTTCCACCAATCACCCTCTTAATTTGCTAACCAAAATCATATCATCATCTTCTTGAGGCAAAGAAACAAACATTTGGTGTGCCAATCTGAAACCTTTAAAAAAAATTCTCCATTAGGCCAGAGATTACCTTCTTCAAATGCATGTATTACGCTTTTGATTTGTAACAATAGAGGTTTTTACACATAATCGCAATTATTTTCTTCCATTTCCATTTCTTCGAGAAGCTTTGCAAGAACCCTTTTCTTCAAAGAAGCCATATTTTTGCTTGAGTATCTCGATGAGAGTTGAAAGTTGTAGGAATTTATTCTTCATAGAGCCTAGCCCTTGACCTCCTTCTGTTGAATCTCCTTTCTCAGCATCCTCATCCTGGTGCCAACGATAATGGCCAAATCCCAATTCAGATATGTGAATACCACGTGATCCGAAAGCATCTTGAACACTTCATTTTCTTGAATCTAAAACTAGATCCATGACTATCATCATTATTTCCTTTGGTGCTTCTCCAATTTGCTCCTTGCAAGATTACAATTTTGGATTTGGGGGGAGGGGGTTAGGTTTGGACGTAATTAATACGTGATTTATAGTTTTAATAAATTTTAGGGTAATAATCAAACATCTTTTTTTTAGGGGTAGCATCTCTAATTTTGCCTAATAAAAATAGTTTAAGAATTGAGGAGGGCTGGCCAAGTGATATTGATTGGGGAGAAAAATCACATATACCCAATAAAAAAATAACATTTCCTATTATATTATTGAATGATATATTTTTTAAATATTACTATATAAATAAGAAAAAGCACCGAAAATACTGACCTTGAAATCTTCCATTTCAAGATTTGTAATGACTTACATCACTTAATACATTAATCTCATATTATATGCAAATTTAAATTGAATTTTTTTGAATTCAAATTCTTTATTTATATAACCTTTCCGCACTATTGTTCCATATAAATAAAGGATGAAAATAATTTATAAATAAAGTAAAATGAAAAATCCAGACGTAGAGAAGAGAGAGAGCACATGACACACAAGATTCATCTTTTGATATAGTAGTCGAGCAATCAAATTGTACCTCAATTTTTTTATTTATTCTCGTGGCTTTTTTTATTTTATTTTATTTTCGAATCATTGCTTTCTGTATTATAAGTAGTTTTTCATTCTTCTCCGTCATTCTGAATTATTATTTGTTCCCTTGGCATAACTGTAAGTCCAATGGATTTTGTAGCCAGGTTGTGTATGTGAAGTAAACTTTGGAGCTCAAATCACTAGCGTTTTGTGGGGAATTATTAGACAAATGGAAAATTAATATATTTTAGTACTTTATCTAGTTCCCCTATCATATTAAAGTTTTACATCTTATTCAGGTATTATAGACTGATTCGTTGTCATTTTGCCCATGCTTTTTTAGGGCTAATTCACTGTAAAATGCGTCAAAGATGAAGAAATTCTTGTGATTGATGGTCAGTATACAACAATATTTTTCCTATTTTGATGATGATGGATTTGAAGAAGAAGAAAAGATAATGCAAACAGAAAATTTAGGACTCAAAATCAAAAGTAGGTGATGAAATTAAGGCAAGATTTTTGTGCGTGAAATATGGATATGTGATGGAAGAATTGTGTAATTAAATTAATCTGTGAGTGATTAACGGTTTTAAATTATAGAACATTAATCATATTTACAATTATTTTCCAGTAATTTTAGAAATAGGATTTTTGTTTAGTAAATTTTGAAAATGATTTTTTTTAAAAAAAAGATTATGTGGTGTAATTTCCACTATTGGTTGTTGGTGGGCTATAAATTAAAATTAAAATGACTTTTCATCTAATTGTACCTTCAATAGTGGCCACAGCCAAGTGCAACCTACTGCCAAATCCTCCCCTTATTTACTCGTGAAGTTAATGGTAAACTTTGCATATTCTCTGCCCCTAAACATGCCGTCTTTCTAATATTCACTGACTATCACAAATTGTCACAGTGCAGACCAGAGTAAATATACTGAATCCACAGATACCAAGTTCAGCCACAGAAAAAAAATCTCCTCCTACATGAAAAGACTGCACCTAATAGATAAGCATCATAGAATTGATTAGGTGTTGACATTCTGTGTACATGATTCCAGATCTTTCCTTATTGACAGTTGACACCCCAACCTGTCCTTGAAATCTGATCGCATCTGCTACAAAAACCCATTGTTGTTACTCCTTTTCTTCCTCGCATAATCAAGATCAGTCCATCACATATCTCTGAAATTCTTGAACAAAAAAAATGGCATCAGAAACAGAGTACACTGAGCGATCATCTTTGATTGATGGCTTAATAAATTCAAGAAACAGGGACCTCTCTCTGTTTTTACCCTTCATTATGGGCTTAAACACCACCTACCCACTTCAAGATTCCACAAACCCACCTCAAGAATCCCAAAATCCAGCCACCCCACCTGACAGGGTCATCCTCGTAAACCCTCTAACACAAGGCATGGTTGTAATTGAAGCCAGTGGCACAGGCTTGGATACTTTGTTTAGAGACATGTTCTTGAATAAGGATGGTCAACCTCCTGCCTCAAAAGCATCCATTGAGGCCATGCGGAGTGTGGAAATTGTTGGTAATGAAAATAATGAAGAGTGTGTAATATGCTTAGAGGAGTGGGAGGCTGGACAAATGGCTAAAGAAATGCCTTGTAAGCATAGGTTTCATGGGAATTGTATTAAAAAATGGTTGGAAATTCATGGGTCTTGCCCGATTTGTAGGTATAAAATGCCTGTTGATGATGATGATGTGAATGCGAAGAGTGATGGTGAAAATAACAGAGGCCGTAGAGAGATTTGGGTGAGCTTTACATTTAATCGCGACGCGAGGAATGGGGAAAACAATCAGATTGCTCATAGTGATCAGAGTAATGATTTTACTTCCAGTCATCACGAAATTGAGGCTTAAAAACATTTTGTAAGATTTTTTTTTCCTCCCCAATCTAGTGGGAATGACATGTACATATACCATCATTGAATAAATTTTGTGTTGTTTAGCAGTTATTTTTTATTTTCTTCTGCTATTTCTGTTATATATTTCATAGGGACTTCAGAATTTGGTATTGATTACTGACCAAATGCTATCAAATTTGTGGTGTATGGTAGATATTATAAGTGACATGTACATATAGCATATTGCTGCAAAAACACCAGTGAAGTCTAATTCTACTTCTTGTCCCATGTTACCAGCCATTGCTGAGCTGCTTAGTAATGCTCTAACCGACAAATTTATCTAATAACATCAAAACAAATAAAATCTAACCACTTCCTATTTTGATGAAGTAGGTGTCTAAGTTTAGTAGGTCCTCTCCATCATCGAGTTTCCTATTGAACGAATTTTTGAGTACCAGATTTTGTTGTCAACAGATTTGATAATTGACTGTATCCAATTACTGGCTGAAACACTATACCACCTACCCACTTCAAGATTCCACAATCCCATCGCAAGAATCCCAAAATCCAGCCACCCCGCATGAGTCACATGACGAAATCGTCCTCATAAGCCCTCAAACACAAGGCATGCTTGTAATAGAAGGTAGTGTTGAGGCTTGGATTCTTTGTTTAGAGACTTGTTCTTGAATAAAGATGGTCAGATACCTGCCTCAAAAGCTTCCATTGAGGCCATGCTGAGTGTGGAAATTGTTGGTATTGGAATAATGAAGAGGGTCTGATATGCTTAGAGTGGGAGGCTGTGCAAATGGCTAGAGAAATGCCTTGTAAGCATAGGTTTCATCAGAATTGTATAAAAAAATGGTCAGATTTCAAGGTATTCCGTCTTTTTACCAAATCACTCATTGATAATCAGGTAATGTGGAAGCAATTTCAGGTTGGATGAACATTTGAAAAAAATCCGTGTGCAAATGTCGTATCAATTAAGCTATTTGTACATTAAGTTTGACACCATTGTTGACAGATGGGCGACATGGCAAGATTGTGATGATTGGATTAAATGTGTGAGATGTGAAAAATGGTTTGAGATTGTGCCAAGTAGGGATGGCAAAAATCCCCATTAAACCCGATACCCGCGGGGACTCGCCCCGAACGGGGAGGAAATTACCCGCTTAATCGGGTATGGGGGCGGGGTCGGGGGAAGGGGTCCCCGACTCCGCCCCGCCCCGTATAGAGTATAGTTTAATTTTAATTTTTTTTTT